TCTTCGACCTCTACGACTGTAATAGGATGGTCTAGATCAAGCTTGCCTACCGGAGACAATCTAGCCGTAGTGTTAATCCAATGATTGTTATTCAGGTGAAGATCATTAGTGATATCAGCTCATTGGATGCGTGAGGTAAGTATATCTCGGTAATAGAGAGCATCATACTCACACAGGTTAGTCAGTTCCTTAGCTTTCGGCGCGTATCTATCAAATGGATGAAGTAATTCGTTCATGGGAATAGAAAACCTCTTTGGGATCAGTTTTTCGAAAGATTCCTCGGTCATTCTATCATATACCGCTATTCCTTTTACCCACAGTCGCTCGGACCAGACTTCTGAGTAGTGTGTCTGAAGTTCATCTCATTCCGTCATTAGCTTTACCCTTTCCTTGCCCCATACTTCGTTGGATATAGGGTGTTCCGACATTCTAGACTCTGCGTACTCAATGCGACTTTTGAGAGATTTTTCCTTGTTGTTTCTCTCGAAATTGAGGATTTTCGAAGACACACTGAGAAGATTGAAAAATATTTGAACCCCTTTGTCCCACCACTCATCCTTAGTATTGAACTTATCCGAGGCGTCTTCCCATGAAATCCATAACTCTTTCATCCATTGAACTAGGCCCGGATCTTCTAAGTTTGTTGTGTTGAAACGGAACAGACTTGGACCTCTAATCACTCTATGGGTTTGAATTATCAGATAAATTGGTTTGCGATCAGACATTGGGTGACTACGCTCTCTGATCGATGTTACGACTTTCCACATTGGAGATAAAATCAAGAAATAATTCAAACGGCGTCTGATGGTGCCCACATCTTTCGTGTTGTTTGAGAACCATGATGTGAAGCCTTCTCTGTGTGGATGTGTCAGGCGATATGAATCTATTACGTCAAGATCAGTCATCAATGAGATCAGGGCTGACCTATCCCTTGACAACGATGAGTCTTGTCGACTATGAGGGAGGTCCAATGACACGTTCCAATCCCCGGCCACTATTGTCTGCTTACAATCTGGGATAACATAGGACAATTCATCAAAAAAGGAAGATCTTTCTCGGTAGTCTGTTGGGGCATAAATGCTGACAAACATCCATTCTTGTTCATCAAAGAAAACTTTGACCCATGCCCATCTACCCCACAGATCAGCGTAGTAATCAATAATTTCAACTCCCAACGATCAATGGATTAATACCGCGACTCCTCCTCTAGAACCTTGAGCAGGGGACCATATTTGTGGGTCGTCCCACCAATTGCCTAATGCATTGATTTTATCTTCGTTGAGCTTTGTTTCTTGAATACATGTAATATGAATATTGTTATCATGTATCCAGGATTTTAGCCTGTCTTTCTTGTGCTTACCCGACGAGTCTCCTATCTCGCGTAGGTTCCAAGTAACCAGCGTCAATTTACCCATGATTAACTGTTACGCCGTCATGCTGAAAGGAAGGTAGTTGTGGCCAAGGAGATAGCAGACTGAATTGGATGAATGGCGAGAGCAGTTTCTTATCCTTCGGTAGCTTTCCATCGATTGAGGCAAGGCATTCAGCTGATTTGAGCGGGGGAATGGTAATGCGAGCCAGGAGTGGTTTTCGTTTTTCGGTAATCAGAGAGATTGGTAGGAGTCGCATTCCATCCCTTTCCAACGTATCAATCTGCCCTACTTCGAAGCGAACATAACAAATCGGGACCAAAAAAATGATTTTTTTCCCCTGGTTTAGAGGGTTATCAATAATCAATCTTGGCATGATCTTGTCTGGGATACAGCTGAAAGCAAATTTGTTAGCAATTGCAGGTCGCAGTAGGTTGACAATACAGTTGGGCATCGGAGTATCAGGTGAGAGAATATTAACCATGGTTATAGAGTCGTCATTGTTAGAGAAGGCAACAAACCACATTGAATTGCGGGCTATCATGAGGAGTAGGGGAAGGAGGCGTACTTCCATATCACTTGATTGACCTTTTTCGAGCGTCACAGGTACTCTGTGTCTGGTGGTTTTACTACCAGAAGTACCAATCGTGGACAACATCCCGTGTGAGGAATCTGTGGATGATTGAGATTGCTCACCTTGAACCTGAGAATTGGTCCCTTTTTTGCCCTCGTCGAAGCTCAACTGTCTTTGCTTGCCCTGAGCCGAATTCCTGACTCTGTTCACAACTTCTGTTGATGGAGAAGGATGAGCCGATGAAGGTTGATTTACTGTCGGTGATGTCTGAGAGTTAGATGAATGAGCTCGACCTGTGGTTGGAATGATGGTTGGCAGAAGAGTGACCGCAGTGCCTTGCAGTTGAGGAGGACGAACCACTTGATTACCCGCTGAGCCGAATGCTCAGACAAAGTTCACTGATGAATCATGATGAGGTGGTGGGTATCCGAATGGCTGGAAAGCAGATCCGGACGTCATCATGTGCTGCAGATATGCAGGGTGGCCGTTCCAGTAGAACGGATGAACTTGATTCCAGTTAGCGCCATTAGGGTCGATCATTTGAGGAGGGAGCCCTCCCTGTCATGATCCAACCCCCGGAGAAACTAACAGATTGAATCTGATGTTGCTATATGTGGGAGCACCACCTTGCTGGATCTGCTGACCTCCAGCTTGGACGTGAGATGCTAGAGATTAAGGATGGGGGCCAAGTGGGCCGTTGTAGCGAGGAACTGATGAATGGGCCTGCTCTCCTGCATTTGTTCTTGAAGCTTGGAGACCTGCTACTGAGTTTTGACCTCGTTGTTGATTGCCTCTTCTACACTCACTATCGAGATGGAAAAAGGCTCTGCATCGGCGACACCGTGGGGTGTCAGAAGATGCCAGCTTGACTTCGAGTGAATCTCCCTCAAAGGTATCAATCAAAATTTTGTCCTTCATATTTACCCTACTCGCCGGGTCTAGATCAAACTTGATGTTGATTAGGGAGGGTTTCATCCGATCTGGTTCTGCCAGATGAGTAAGTATAACTGGACCGATCGCTCTTCTCACATGGCTTTCGAGGTAGATCATAGCGTCTAATGGAACTTGAATAGCGATCACCCAGAATGTTGCTTCATCTTCTTCCCTTCGCTGAGCTCTCAGTTGAGCTTTTGTGAGCCAAGGTTTGAATTCGAGTGAGTAGGCAATGTTGGCTAGTGTGATATTGTCGTTGCCTTTGTTGATCAACCATTCTACCACCTCAGTGCTCTTTGCCACATACGAAACGATATTCGGACTTTCAATCTTTACCCTTCCCCTCCGGAAGGTAGTAGCATTAAAGGTTTCATCTCTGGTTTTCCGGTCTTCATAAGCTCGGTTTATGTCATCCTTGATCTTGTGTGGTAAAATCTGGCGCCCTCTCTGAATATGAAGGTGACTGTGTGTTGCTTCGGCCACGTAACCTTGGCTTGATCGATGTCTGTGTTAACCTTGAAACGGACTTCTCTTCCATCCACCGACATTTCTCTCGGATCAATGTTTGGCGGGATGATTCCTTCCTCATAGCAGAGGCGAATCATCTCTCTTACCCGATCATCTTCTTCGTTCATTCCCTCCGAACCAGGGGGAGGAAATCGAGCTTCCCTATTTCTAGTTGGTCCCTCTTCCTGAGCTTCTTCCATCCTATCTCGACGTGGGGATAGCACTAGCTTTTCCTATATGAAGATGTAGGGGAAGATATCCTCGGACTGGCTTGCTAATTTTTTGGTGCGAAATGGAAACGAAGTCGATGATGTAGCTTGTGCTGAGCCTACCTCAATGGTCGAGCGAAAGGTGTGAGCTACCAATCGTGTCTGTAGGTAAGTGATATTATTTTCCTCTTATCTACGTTGGATGGGGAAAGTACGATTCCGAGATATCCGTGCGAAAGAGTATCACTTTCTACGGAGATGGTTGATACTTTTAAGCGGTTTCGACATTATCGGTCGGATGATGGGTATGATAGTCATGTACTACTCCGCTCCGTTATCAAGCTGAAAGGATGGGAGAGGGTCTTGAGAGAGAAATGGCTTACTAGTTGCATTTGTGGAAACGGACGCTCGAAGCAGGAGATTGATCTAAGATTAGTTGGTTGGAGATTCTGAATTTATTTAACTAATATGCACTGTGAAGATGATGAGGAAATAGTAGTAGAAAAACAAACCCTATATGAGTGATTGCAACTTATGCTGGGGACTAATTCGAGATCGGTGTCGAGGGCCGTCCCAGACGTGTGCTGTGAGGTCTACATAACTACAGGTAGTTCGACGTTCCGACGTGGCAAAATCGTATCGACCTCCACATCCATCGCGCAGCTATCATGGTGGTAGGTGACGCGATCACACATGTCAAGCGTTGCCGCGGGAACTTCGCTTGGTCCGAGCGCTGCGTTAGCGCCGGCGGAAGCGAACTGGTAGGCCCTTACGGGTCCAAAAAAAACTACTACCACTACTCCTAATTGTAGGCATACGGGGAAGAATATGCGGGGCTGCTCCCCACCTGTAGGAGGGCGATACCGGCTAGGGGACAGCCGGTAGCATCACGGACCATGCCAACAGGACCAATCCCTGTGCCTCCCCTCAGGTCCCCTTCCCCACCATCAGCAGACTCTGCTCAATGCCGATCGCGGATCCAGTGGTCTATCTCTATCTCTAGGTGGCGGGCGCCAAGTATGCCCAGGAAGGTACATGAGGCCAGTTGGGATTGAGCCCACGACGTCCTGAATGCCACTAGCGAGCGTTATCAATGCACTGAGTTTGTTCTCCCCACCTCGCCCTACATGTACTGTAGGTTCGATTACAAGTGTACATAACAAACGCGCCCGGCTGATCTCCACACGCACAAAGACAAAAAACATGGTGGTGTATCTTTCCATATTCTAGGGGAAGATTCCTTCTCCCTTGGGGGAACTTTCTGGAAGGGAGAGGCGCCTGTGCCCGCCAGCAGTTCGGCTGTTGCTGGCCGCCTAGGAGATTCCCCGGTCAGTCGTCACCATGCGTGCGTGCCATTCATCTCGATGCGGATCAAGGAGCGGGTCGCTAGCACGCGTCGGTGCCGGGTGAGGTCGGGTAGCACACGTCGCCAACAATTGTCCGCTGGGCAGGGTCGGTGACAGGTCGGTGACAGCGACGTGGGAACATAGAGAGGGGGCAAGAGAGGGAGAGAGAGAGTAGACGAAGAGCAGGGGGAGGGGAAAGAGATGGGAGGAAGAAGAACAGCGACGGGAATGGTAGAAAGGTGAGAGGGGTTTGCGTAGACAGACGCGATCGACGGGCAATTTTTTTTTTTTGTGTCACTGCTCACACACACAGAGAGAGAGAGAGAGAGAGAGAGAGAGAGAGAGAGAGAGAGAGAGAGAGAGAGAGAGAGAGA